TCCAGTACTCTTTCCATCAGCCTCTCAAATGTTGCTGGAGCATTGCTAAGCCCGAATGGTATCACACAGTATTACCAGAGACCTTGTCCATAACAACATGCATCTTAGGTTTATCTGTTTCAGCCATTTTCACTTGAGGGAAACCCGACTTTATGCCCAGAGTTGAAAACCACCTGACTCCACATAGGGCATCAAGAGTGTCATCAATTCTTGGCAGTGGGTATGAGTCCTTTTCGGTTATATTGTTAAGAGCTCTGAAGTCCACACAGCAACGTTGGGTCCCATCCTTTTTCTGGACTAACACAACGGGAATTGACCAGGAACTATCTGATTTCTCGACTATCCCTTCCTTAATTAGGCCATCCATGACCTTCTCCATCTCTTGTCGCTTTGCTGGAGCTTTTCTCCTTGCAGGGATCTTTATTGGATGGTGATTGTCTTTGTTTATTCTGTGCTGCACAAGGTCTGTGAAGCCGAGGTCATGATCTCCTTTCGAAAAGAAGTCTGCATAATTCGCCAAAAGTTCTCTAAACTGAAGAGCCTGTGATGATGACAAATGGACTATGCTCTTCTTATAGAGATCAGTTAAATGTTCTGGGAGCGTATGTCCTTTCTTTATAGTTGTATTTCTTGCTTTAACATTGACTGGCTCTACCTCCTGGCACACACCCAACAATGCCCCTTCCTTAAATGTCTGCTCACATTTAGAGAAATTAGCCACTGTTATGGGTACTACTTGATGACCTGCCACAAGTGGCCTTCCAATCTTCATGTCTGCTGGCCTAGATTGGTCTTCCACTGCTTCCACAAGCATTGGGCTTCCTTGAGGATGCTCTTTTATTTTTATTCTACCTGAAACTATCTTCTCTGACATAGGAGGTATTGTAGTCGATTTAAGTCCTGTGACATGCAAATCAACAGATGCAGCAACACTCACCGGAATTTGGCCTTTGTTGGCCCCAAACGTCATTTTATCAAAGATAACTACACATATCCTCAGTAGTAAGTAGCCCAACCCTAGTATGCATGGGTCTTCAATGCCATCCAAGTATACTTTGTGTCTGTCCTTTATGCCCATGAGCCCAATAGCTACCAACACTGGTCCCCACAACCTTGCATAATGTCCTGTCACACCACAGAGTTTCTGTATGGCTTCTGGTACTCCTTTGTGATCTAGCACCTGGATACTCACAAAGGTTTGCTGAGATGCAGAATCTATGACAAAGTTGCACTTTTGGCCATCCAGCTTTAGTCCCCTTTAGCATGGACTCTCGTCCTAAACCTAGCCCTGTAGACTTCAGACTGATTTTGGGTTCCATACCTGAGTTCTAGAGCCGCTACTAGTGCTCTATAGTTGTGTCTGTCATCTGCTGACAACTGTCCAAGTATTTTCAGTGGTTGTACCTTCAAGCTCGTTGCCAGATATACTGCTTTCTGCTCCTCTGTCCATCCATTCATTTCTGCCAGGAGCTCAAATTGTGCTCTATATGCTTCCCATGGTACCTTTCCATCGAATTCCTGTGGCTTCCTTCATACTAGATCACCCCTATTGCTGACAGTAGATCATCTTTTATTATATTTAATTCAGTTGGAAATTTACTAATCTTTTTCATTTGTTCTTCATACTGATGTTGTTCTCTCTCTTCTTGTTCCAGTTGCTACTGGTGCTGGTTTTCTTGCCACTGCTGTAGTCTCTCTTCTTGTTTCTTTTCTTTCTCCTCCAACCACTGCTGTAGTCTCTCTTTTTGTTTATTTTCTCTTTCCTCCAACCACTGCTGTAGCCTCTCTTCTTGTTTCTTTTCTTTCTCCTCCAACCACTGCTGTAGTCTCTTTTCTTGTTTATTTTCTTTTTCCTCCAACCACTGCTGTAGCCTCTCTTCTTGTTTCTTTTCTTTCTCCTCCAACCACTGCTGTAATCTCTCTTGTTTTTTTCTTTCTCCTCCAACCACTGCTGTAATCTCTCTTGTTTTTTTCTTTCTCCTCCAACCACTGCTGTAATCTCTCTTCTTCTTCCTTTTCTTTTTCTTCCAACAACTGCTGTAAGCTCTCTTCTTGTTTATTTTCTCGTTCTTCTTGTTTTTTTTCTTTTTCCTCCAGCAGCTGCTGTAATCTCTCTTCTTGTTTCTTTTGCTGTTCTTGTATTGCTGCCATCAAATCTGTTAAGCTGTAGTTTGATTTGTCACCTCTCGTTTCCATTTTTTTCTTTTCCTTCCCACTCTCTGACACCAATTTGTTGGGTATCTGCTTGTTTGATAATTTCCGGTAAAAATTCTTTCCGAGTGACTTCAGCGATACAAGTCCCTTCTTGATTAAAACTAGTTTATTCTTTCTCGATACAAACTTTGTAATACACTTAACAACTTTTATAACACATGCTATAAATCACAGTGATTCACACACTTTACATTAACGGTGCCTACTGTTCGCTTTACTCAATTATCTATCTATCTCTTCGATCTATCTGCCTATATCGCTGGCTTTCTTTGCCAGGCTTATATACTAAAAAAGAGGGCGTCTAGCAAATACTTGGAGATTTGCGGGGTTCCCCGATACTTCTAGAAATTCCAGCGCGCATGCTCCCAGTGTCACACGACTTCCGCTGTCGTAACAGTAACATTTCACGTTACCATGTATGTAATACTGTCCACTGATGGTAGTAATATTTCATGTCATAGTTACGAGAATGTGCTGTATCTGTTGGAGTTTGTTCATAACTGAAAGTGAAATAAATAGAATAATTCATTGCACTTAATTATTCTTTATTTACTGTTAAAAAATACATATTTACTTTTTCATATTTGCTTTAAGATTTTTAACCGTGCATGCACTTAGTACACATAGATTCATGTAATTACTAAAAACAATAATGGCAGGAAGTGAAACAAAAATCATTATTAGAGCTACAAGTCGTTCACAGAGCCCATGAATAAGATAATTCCGCTGACCTTGTCCCTGATAAAGAACAAAAAGGGATGGTCGGCATTGAAAATCTCAATATGTTCTTCATGCGCAGATGCTGATTTTAATGAGATAACAACTCCTGTTACTGCTGCAGCCTCGCTTCCTTCCTCGTTGACCTCGATCACAGCTTTGTGCAAGACATCTTCTACATATAAATCCTGACGTCCACTTATACCAGAAAAATCGGCAGCCGTAGAGAAAGCCTTTTTAATTCCCATATCCTGGAGATATTGCTTAACCATTGGCGAATCTTCCAGTTTAAATTTAGGGAGGGTAACATCTACCTTCCTGACTTGTAAACTGTTCACCAGGCGATTCAACGAATCAGATGTGAGCGAACTTTCGACATTCTTAAGCCCATATTCTTTCTCAGGTAGAATAATAACCATGCTGATTCTGTCTCCTTTATAAGGAAGTTCTAAGACCTTGTATTTTAAGTTGTTGTCATAACTGTAAGGGAACTTACTGGTAACTTTCATCATGGGAACTGACTTTGATAATCTTTTCTGGTTAAAGAATGGTAAGTGAACAGTTTTTTTACGGTCAAACTGAGTTATCCACATACCTTTGAAATACACAGCATTGAGGAGGAAGAGACGAGTAAGACTGTCCAGTGGCTTGCTGAGAAGTGAGGTGATTTTGTTGTGTGTTTTGCTAGAAACCCAACTGTTGACAGAATCTTTGACACCCAACCCATCATACACAAAGTCGACTAACTTGATATCCGCATGGAGGTTGCCTTCTAGTGTCCTTTTGTAATCATCCAACACTCGGTAATTGTTCTGTAATTGTAAAAAAAAACTTATTGAATAAAAAATAAAAGCCAGATATCTAGTCAATTCTTCAAAAACTCATTTGGTTAATTCCTCAAATTAGTTAAACTATTCTAAAACAACAGTATGTGTAAAAATGTTTCTCAGTGAATCCATTACTAACTTTTAAGTATCCACTATAAACAGTTAAACAGGTATACAACATATACTATACAAAATAATGATTATCAGTTTCTTCGATACCTGAATCAGAGCCATATCTGCCAAATCAAGTTGATAATCTCTTTGACCGTTTCCAAGTAATTCAAATGCTTCGTAAAAACTTCGTGAGACTTCTTCTACTTCTAAGCCTGCTTTCAGGAAGCCAAGAGTTCCTCTCATTTCTGCAGCTGTTTCACCTTTTGCTCCCAGGTACGCCATAGTTAACGCTGTCGATAGACTGAAAGGGGAAAAGAAGACTTGCTCGTTCCCTCTGCTGGCTAACCTCTTGTAAAGATCAACCCCAAACTGATTGACCGCCGTGCTCAACTTTGCCACAGACGTCCCTTGCTTCGATTCGGTAAAATATATATCCCGACAATAAATATTGCCGAATATCATTATCAGAATAAATGTTGTTTTTCTTGAGTCGGTCATCATTTCTAATATATAACACAAAGTGTTTTAGATGTAAAAACAATACTTAATAAAACCTGCACAAGTGTAGAAAACAATATCCAATAAAACCTGCACAAAATGTTTTAGATGTAAAAACAATATTCAATAAAACCTGCACAAAGTATTTTAGATGTAAAAAAATGCCCAATAAAACCTGCACAAAGTGTTTTAGATGTAAAAAACAATATCCAATAAAACCTGCACAAGGTGTTTTAGATATAGAAAACAATATCCAGTAAAACCTCCACAAAGTGTTTTAGATGTAAAAAACAATATCCAATAAAACCTCCACAAAATGTTTTAGATGTAAAACACAATATCCAATAAAACCTGCACAAAGTGTTTTAGATGTAAAAAATAATATCCAATAAAACCTGCACAAGGTGTTTTAGATATAGAAAACAATATCCAGTAAAACCTCCACAAAGTGTTTTAGATATAAAAAAATATCCAATAAAACCTGCACAAAGTGTTTTAGATATAAAAAAAATATCCAATAAAACCTGCACAAAGTGTTTTAGATATAAAAAAAATATCCAATAAAACCTACACAGTGTTTTAGATGTAAAAAACAATACCCAATAAAACCTGCACAAAGTGTTTTAGATATAGAAAACAATATCCAGTAAAACCTGCACAAAGTGTTTTAGATATAGAAAACAATATCCAGTAAAACCTGCACAAAGTGTTTTAGATATAGAAAACAATATCCAATAAAACCTGCACAAAGTGTTTTAGATGTAAAAAACAATATCCAATAAAACCTGCACAAATTGTTTTAGATATAGAAATCAATATCCAATAAAGCCTGCATGAAGTGTTTTAGATGTAAAAAATAATACCCAATGAAACCTCCACAAAGTGTTTTAGATATAGAAAACAATATCCAGTAAAACCTGCACAAAGTGTTTTTGATATAGAAAACAATATCCAATAAAACCTGCACAAAGTGTTTATGATGTAAAAACAATACCCAATAAAACCTACACAAAGTGTTTTAGATGTAAAAAACAATACCCAATAAAACCTGCACAAAGTGTTTTAGATGTAAAAAATAATACCCAATAAAACCTCCACAAAGTGTAAAAAAACAATATCCAATAAAACCTGCACAAAGTGTTTTAGATGTAAGAAATAATATCCAATAAAACCTGCACAGAGTATTTTAGATGTAAAAACAATACCCAATAAAACCAGCCAAAGTGTTTTAGATGTAAAAAACAATATCCAATAAAACCTGCACAAAGTGTTTTAGATGTAAAAAACAATGCCCAATAAAACCTGCCAAAGTGTTTTAGATGTAAAAAACAATACCCAATAAAACCTCCACAAAGTGTTTTAGAAGTAAAAAAATAATATCCAATAAAACCTACACAAAGTGTTTTAGATGTAAAAAA